TCGGGGTCGCTCCCGCGCCTCGCTCAGCCAGTGAGCGGGAACCGGTCTGTATGTGGGATCCGAACCCTCGGGCGGGAGCGCCGCCGCGCTTCCCAAGCGGCGCACTAATCCAGTGCGCCACCGGCCGGCCCACTTCAACACTATTCTATGAAAACACTTCCCTCAAAAAGGAAACTGATGATATTATGAGACCAAGCTAAGGTCAGCAAGCTATCTCCTCACATTCTTTACACACAGGGAGGTAGATCAACTTGTAGGTTCTAGTCCAAATGCCAGCTAAAGTTCAGATGCCATGCACACCTACATTAATTGCAAGTTAGCTAAGCACCTGGCCTATTAGAGGGATTAAGTTTATACTTTATTTGTGGCTGTTGAAAGGCCTGATCTGACCCCGCTGTTCACAGAGTCCTCAAGACTGAGGAGGAGGCTCCTTTGCAGGGAGCCTCCTGGAGCGGAAGGCAACAGCTAAGGGAAGTTACGGGCAGGGCATCAGGCACCAGCTTCACAGAGGAGCAGAGCTGGCTCATGGCATGCAGCTGGGGCATCCTCGGGAGCAGCAGCTGTGTGCAGGACCCGCTCACCTTCTCATAGGGGATCTGCAGCAGCTCCAGCACCACGGCGTGCGCGCCCATGTTCCGGAGCAGGCGCTGCTGCTGCTTACGGCTCTTCCGCACCGAGGCACTCTCCTGAACACACAGTTTGCTGAGTCGAATCAAAATCTGGTAGAAAGAAATCAACCTCAGAAAACTAGCAGCTACAGTTGGGAAAATACTGCTGGGGGCAGTGGCAGGCAGGGAGGCTAAAGGGATCACAATACATTAAAATCATAAAACATGGGAAATGTCTGCAACACGGGAAATGCATGTAATAACCCTGTTGATTGCATCAAGCTGGATCCACAGAAGACTAAGAACATGTGTTCCAAAATAAGCAGGGGACTATGCTTCAACAGCAAGTGGGACCATGTCAGAAGGTCGCTTAAAACTGGTATGACCCAGCATCATTTCCAAGACTTGGGGAAGAGTTTGCTCTGGGGTAAAAATCACCAAGCTCCCAACCTCCTAACTTTGAACCACCTTGTGCAAAGATTTCTAGAGAACTACAGCTCTCATTGATGGACACGATACAGCGGGCGCCAAGATAAATCCTCAACAACTGTTATCAGTTAATCCTTCATTCAGTTGTAAAGCTCCAGAAATACGTGGTAGCTATAAAAGGCGAGGAAACTGAGGACACACAAGTGACAAGTGGCAGAGCTGAGTTTGAACCCAGATCTGATGCCAAAACCCACCAGCTGAACCTCTGAGCTCTTAACTTTCTCCCTGTTAAATTTTAAGTGACAGAAAAAGCGAAAGTGTTTGTACCTTCAGCTTGACCATCACAACTACAGCTCCTTAGGGAATGAATAAAGAAGGACAAAGGCAGGCGAGGAGGGCCATACCTCTTTCACCACTCTGTAGTTGTAGCTGCTGGTGCTTTCATGCTTTTGCGACTTGTTATTCCCCTCCTAGGGACCAAAATGAACACAACTGAGGTTTGCACAAGTCTCGGGACACTGTCAATTTGCTCTGGTTAGCACCACCCTTACAAAAGAACTCTTCTCCCACAGTCACAATCACACGTACTTTCTCATACATGCTCTAAGGTGGCATGGGACTCAGAGCTAAACTTTGACTTTGTAGCTATTTCCTAGGAGAACAGCTGTTACCCTGGCCACTAAACAAGCAGATCACTCGAGAATAAAGCCCATCCCACAACGTGCATGCACATCTACAGCCAGAACAGGATGCTCCCTGGCGTGGGGAAGCCCAGCCACCCATCAGCATAGCGCGTGCTTTGCCCACCTCCGTTTTCTTGTGCTCGTTTTCACCAGATGCACCATCCATGGTCTCATCGGGGCCCTGCCCTTTGTACACCCAAAGCTCTGACTTTTCCACGATGGACCTCAGTTGATCCAAGTCTTGTTTGATCTGTTTGTAGTTGTCCACATCTTGGCTGGTAACCAGCAGTTGAACCTTAATAAACGTAGCCCATTGGTTGCACGCACCAGCTTCTTGGACAGACAACACACACACACACACACACACACAAGGCAACCTGAGCTACCTGTTTGAAGGCCTGGAGGACCTCCTGCCTCTGACTGAAGTGCCGAAACAGGAGCTGCAGGGCCCCCGACACCAGGGGTGGGTAGTCATGCATCGTCAGGTGGAGCAGGACACGGAGGAAGGTTCTGCCGCCGTGATCATCCAAGTCCAGAGGGGTGTTCTCCTCACTGAAGGAGTACAGGGAGATAGGGGGGCACAAGTGAACTACAAATGCCCTCCCCTCACACACCTGGGGCCCAGACATGCCTAAACTACTTCACTTTCTAATGCTACATTCCACCTCATGTGACATGACTTTTCATTAGCTCCTTTAATTACACAATCTTGCTTTATTGTCAACTATATCATGAGGGGAGGGGACAATTAAGATGTCATAATTGTCCAATTAAAAAGAAGAAAAGAAATAAGAGATAATTGTCCAGTGTTTTTAAACCATAGTCCCTGATCTCCCAAAGTGACAAGAGTGGCCTTACAACCAAATTCCCGACACCTATATTACGGTGTTCTGCTGGGCTTCATGTGTGGTCCGAGAACTACAAACGGGTGTGTTTATCCTAAATTAGTAGCTTATTTTTTATTTGGGATGCTGAGATTCAGTGCTACAGAAATTATCTGTGGTGAAGGACCAGCTTTTTTTATTTCCAGTTTGTAGCTGATTTTGGCCTCTACCCAGTCCCCTGCTCATGCACTAGGATGTGATGGAGGGTCAAACTGCCATAAATGTGTTCATCTTGTCACAAACTGGTAACAGGCAGTTCAGTCCCGTGGACCCCACTCTGAGAGGTGTTGTCATGAACCAGTATGACTCACTGTTCTTGAAACTGGGATTAATCACCATAGTATCAGGGGTTATAACTTCATTATCTATAATAACTTGACTGGGTGTTATTTACATCACTAAAAAATTAATAAGCTTATCCTGGATCAATTGGCAGACCACCCCATATCCGGGCACTGCTACTCAAATATTGTGTCAGTTCCTGTAATGTGTTTACAACCAAATGTATGACAAATGGGGAGACCTTCATGGTCGCAGGGTAATAAGGAAAGCACAGAGGGGACTTAACATATAAATACTGTACTCATGTATATGCTCCAAAAGGTGGAAAGAAGGTGTCACTGCAGTTCAATAGCAGGAAAATGGTGGGAGAGCAATCAGTACTCAGCTGAACTCGAAACACTCTGTGTAAGTTTCATAAAAACATCACCTTCTATCATAGTAAATAATGTTGCTAATTGAGATTTCACAGGTTTTACGTTAAGCATTGAGGCAGACTCAACACTGGGGGCCGCCAACAAACTGGGCCCTCACAGTATTCACATCCTTACATGGTCCCCTCCCACACAAACACTAGGCTTGGTCATGGATTCCCTTTGACAAATAGGACATTAGCAAACACAATGCAAGCAGAGGCTTAATTAGTGCTTGCACACTGTTGGCACATCCTCTTGGATCACCTGCTCTTGAAGTCAGCCACCATGCTGTAAAGAGAGGGAAAGGTCCCAGCCTTACAGACATTTCTGCCGATGGGCCAGAAAAGTGAGTTAAGGAACTTGAATGTGCCAGCCTGTCACCACCTTACTACATTTGCACAACAAACCCAATAGCAACCAGCAGCAGAACCATCCAACTTAGCCCAGTCAACCCAATAGAACTCTGAGAGGTAATAATAAAATGGTTGTTGCTTTAATCCTTAAGTTTTTTTGAACAGTATACATGCAGTAAAAGATAATTAAACCAACTATGTTAATAATAAGAACTATGCACATAGGGTATTACATTCAACTTTATGCTTATAAGTATGAGTTTCATAATAATAATGTTTTAAGTCATTAATTGAGCAACGTTGTATTTTTTAAAGGGATTCACACATCAATATTAGGAACAGTGAAAGAACGGATTGTTTTCTTTATTGAACAGCCTGTGAGGAGCTCAGGGTAAAACTGCGGCCCTTCAGCAGCAGCCGGACATGATCTTACTATCTTGCTGTGTTTTGAGCCTCTCTCTCTTTCTATTCTTTCCCTTGACCATATTTCCTCACCATTTCAAAATAATCTTGTAATGTACGTATTTTGGGAAACCTTAAATTAACCTTTCCGTCCTAGGCAGGAAACACACACACACACACACACACAATCAAGCCAATTAAGATAACTCTGACTTGAGTACTAAGAGTTCCAAAGACAGCACTAAAACAACCTAAGTCCAAAGATAACTATTTACTAATAAAGTCAAGGAAAAAGCCTTTGAGAGCTATGGAAGAGCAGACTTCCAAATTGTAGAACCACCTACAAAACAGTAACTGAAAATATACTTTCCTTCCTCCAAAGATGCCTTCTGCTTGCTCTTCAATGTGTTCAAAGTCGAGAGCACCTGAAAAGTTAGAGAACATAACTTCAGATACAGGAAGATCTAAAAACATGCTGCTGGTGAACTTACCCAAAAGTTTTGCAGGAGCAAAGCTGTTGGGTTGACCCCATATCTTCCGGAATCATATATTGCAAGCTATGGAGCCAGGCTAATCCACATGACACTCTCCAATGTTCCACATTCCTGCCATTTCTCTCTGACTGTGTGGCTCCTTGGTAAAGGAGAGTGATGCCCTCATTGCAAGGAAGCTTGAGGCTTGGTATGTGGGATTATTTCTACCACTACTCTTTTCCCTACCCTTCACCACTATTTCCTGGGCAAGGAAAACTTCCAACATGAGTAGAAGTTACTAGTGGACGATAAGGTTGGTTGGAGAGTTTTTTGTTATTATTTTTGGGATTTTTTTTTTTTTTTTTTTTTTTTGGGGGGGGCAATTAATAGGTAACCACAACACAAGAAACCTCAGCTGTCTTAT